TAGCCCTGCAAAAAAGTGCTTTCTGAGTCTTCACGTGATGCACACACTTTTTTTTTTCTTTTTGATATCATGCATGCTCATTTCTGAGTCATACTAAGGAAATAAAATATTGGTGATGCCAAAAGACATCAGGAGGCAATATTCTAAAACTGTCAGTGACCCGAGGACACCATATTTCTCTTGTCCAAGTGAGCCAGTGCTCATTTTAAAGTCCGATTGTAACGTGGAATTCAATGGGAGCTCACAGCACATAGCATTCAGATGATGCTCATCAGCTTTTGGGGGCTGAAGCAGGCAGCAGACCGCATTCCTAGTACGCTCTCACTTAAAAATCTGCCTGCAAAGGCCAGCGCCAATTTTCCTATCCCTTTATCTTGCCTTCCCCTAAAGATTTCAAGACAGTGCTTGAAATTTTGCTGGAGTCATAAATCATATTTTTACCTTCATGCGACTGGTTTTCAATAGAGCCAGAGTTTTTAAGGTTTATCTGCCCGGATGTATTATGTTACTGAAATAGAGAAACGGCTGCTGTGCAGGACAGTGGTTAGTGAAACTCAAAGTCGTAACAGTATCTTCCTCAACTGATTTGAGGAAAGAATGTTCATAAAATATATACTGCCTTTGGTTAGAGGCTGATTTCTAAATAAACAGACTCAGCAATGGAAAGTCTACAGACAGGCAAAACAAAACATGCATTAGTAAATGTACGTTTTAAAATCAACTCTCTCACAATCTTCGCTTTTCTCAAGCTTTTTGAAGACTGTAAAATCGGTTGCATTAAATTTATGATTTATAGCTGTTCTAATTTTACTTCTCTTGCAGTTGCTGAAGGAAAATCTGTTGACTCTTCTGGACTATTTCTCCTCCATTTTACAGCCTGTGATGTTGCATCTCTGCCTGAGAGGGCACCTCACTGCAGTGATCTGAAGGCAGCCATTTGAGAGCCAGGGAAGGACAGAAAAGGAGAAAGCTTTGCTACAACAAATCTCCCAGTCCTTTTGGGCCCCAACAAAATAGGAAATGCTAGTGATTAGGGGATTGCATTGCTTCCAATTAAAAGAAAAAAAAAAAACACAAACACAAACACACACAAGTGCTAATCCACACAACACAAAGGCAAACCAAGTGGGGTTATCTTTCCTAATTTGCAGTGAACTGGGGTCAACTAGATTTTTATCTCAGATACAAACTGGGAAGGAGAAAACAACAAGAAAGGAAACGCCACAACTTGGTTAGATCCTGCTTTTCACACAAGATTATATGAACGATAGCTACACAGGATGCTTCTAGAAGATTACAAGGCCAAAAATAAGCAAGGAAATATGGCTGGCCCAAATGTTCACATTCATTTCTAAAAGAATAGTGCAATCTGATACAGAACTGCAGTACACCTATATCCATGTTTCCCACTTAAGATTAAAAAATAAGATAGTTTTAATTCTCGAATAATTATCATGATAAAGGTCTGACCAGAAACTGCATGGGTACTATGTAGCTTTTATTCATTCTTCAACCGTATACTGAATGGTCTGCCACAGGCCATTAAAAGTATAAAGATAGCATCCCTGCCTTCAGTTAGCTTATATTCTATTTGGGGAAAAATCCAAATATGTGAAATATTTGGTAACATTTCAGTATAAAACTAAGAAGGCAGCAGATAATTAGCAAATGGGTAACAGGAAATAGAAGCGCCCTTAAGAATTCTGTAGGGGAAAAAAACAGTCTCTGCAATATGCTTCCGGGTACAAGTGTCTGAGTTAGAAAAAAGCTGAGTTCTGCCACTTAGTGTAACTCCACGAAAGAATATGCTTAACTTTGAGCCTCAATTTCATCATCGATAAAATGGGAATGATGATTAATATCTACCACCTAAGATTATTACAAGAAACTGTTACACTGCATGTGGAAAGACTCTGTACTCTGTAAAGAACCTATAAATGGCCATTGAGAAGACAGTAAAAAGAATCACACAAAACTGTTACCACTAATTTAGGAGAGCGGAAAGGGTTAGGAGGTTGGAAGGAAAGATGATTAACTTTTTTCTTTACATACTTTCTATTGTTTGAACTTTTATAATGCCCATGCACTGATTTTGTAACAAAAAAAATTAAAGCTATATAAATACTATTTGAAGTACAGACTATAAATACTACCTGTGACACCGTATCTAGACATCACAAAATACTCTATTGTAAACACTAGTAACCCCGTTCCTTCATGAGTACAAAGAAACAAGACTCAGTCCCGGTTTCAATTTGAGAATTTCTAAAGTCATAAAAATGTGCCAAGCTTCGGAATGATAACCAACTGAAACAGTATTTTCTTTCCAGGACATTTTAAAATAGAACAAATTTTATACTCACCCCAAACTATCCACTGATTCAAACAATCACTTTGGTCAATATGTTTTGAAATGGCAAATTTATTTAAGCAAAAGGCTTAAATAACATTAGTTGTCCAAGGCGAGTCTTTGTTGTGCGTAATCGTGCTTTCTAGAGCCCATCACACATCAGGTATTTAACTGACAACTTTACAGACATAGAAAAGGTCCTCAGGCCATTTACAAATGAATGCCAAGGACTTCGCACAGAGGCATGGAAGATTCTGTAGATTGAATTTGATCACAGGTTAGCATTCTTAACATTATAAGTAACTGTGAGCCCTTTGAGGGCAGGAATCATATCTTCTCAATGATGATGCCCAGTCCTGGGCATTGTGACCAGCATACGAGTAGGCAATAATAAATATTTGATGAACTATTTGAAGGAAAGATAACTCTAAAACATTTTAGTCAACTAGAAACCCAACGAGACGGGCACATACGCTAAGAACAAAACCTGTATAGCTGTATTCTGTAGAAAATCACTTAAACTGCTTCAAAAACAGCCAAGATAATTATGAATTTGAATTCCTTGAAGAAAACTTTGTAAAAGTCCCTTTTTGAGAAAGGTTCTCTCCTACATGTGAGAAACTATAGATGTGTGAACTAAGATGAAATCATGGAGCAGTTTGATCAGAACCACCTTTCATCTGCCTTACCCAAAATTTCCAAGGCATGTTTCATCGATATAAATAGAAGAGGGCAGAGGAAAGGCTTTTACTATTTGTGGCAGAAACAAGCCCACACCTGGAATGCTGGATTCCTGGCTCACTACTGTCCCACTGGCTCATGGCCCCCTCTATGATGATTTATGAATTAACATATAGACACTGAGAAGGGACAGAGTTGGTATCCACATGTAATAAGACTATGAGATTGTACGTAGTCACATTTGTCTATTTCCAGTATTATACAAGCAGTGATTGGGTGGGGGGAGGGAGCTAGGGCATACTGAGCTTGTTCAAGTATTATGGGATAGGCCCTATAGATATAAGTATGGAAGCAGAAATACAGTGATAGGAAGTAATCCCTCGGATTTCCATTGATGGTTTAAATCCCTCTATGAATGATGTACCCATTGCTAATGTCTTTGTTCCATCCTAAACTCCTGGATAATTCATTTTTATCTTATTTAATCTTCCTCCCAAGGTGACCAGGGCTTGTCAAAACTTTAGATTCCATTAGTGGTATATGTTAATTCAAGAGAAGTCATTTCACAATAAGTGAAGGCTTCAAGGCGGCTCTCACTTGAAGCTTTTTGGAATATCCAAACCAATATATTAAAAGAGGTAGATTTTTCTGCTTCTCAAAAGTATTGCATAAGGCCAGTAGAAATAAATTGCTTTAGTTGTAATTCTTTAAAGATTACTAAATTTCATAGTTTGGCTACTCAAATTATATTTGGAAGCTACCTAGGAATTTTCTCACATTTTGATTTCTGGAAGAGCAATTAATCAAGCTCTTGTTTGAGGTAACCCGAACTTTAATCAGAATTCTATGGGGGGACAGTCGCAGGGCTGTATACTCAGAATATTCAACAGTATATATATAATTGAAAACAGCAACAACAGGAAAAGAAAAGGAGATGCCAGTGGGCTGATATGTTATAACCTTTGGTCAAGCGGTACTTGGCAAATTTCAACAGATTTAGTTAACCGGAGATAAAAAACTAAGCAGTGGAATACCATTAAAATAAAACAAAAGTATTCACACAGAATCAAGAATTACCAGTGAAAAGGAATGCTGTTCCTAAGAGCATGGATCTACCAGAGGCAATTTGTTAGAAGCCTGAAGTCGTGATTTCGTAGTGGAGGTTTGAAATGAAAACTTTAAAGTTTCTTTAGGTCAAGCTATAGCACAGCATTCAGAGAGCCAGCCAAAATCGCTGAGGGAAACGAGGAAGGCCACATGTGGAACTAATTACTCATGTAGAGGCCATGACAAAGAACATTTCTCCAGACTTTTCATGGGGGCTTCACTTTCAGGAAGTTGCTATAATTACTGTTCAAGTCTAGAGCAGCCTGCAAGCCGCTGACAGATCCAACAGACGAGGAGGAGGAGGGAAAGAGAGAGAGAGAGAAAAAAATGAACTTATCTGCCCTTTTGACGAGTGAAATACCAGAAAATAAAGTACCACAGGAAAGCTCAAAAAAGTTTGCAAATGAGCCCTGACTTCCAGTGTTCAACTTTCTGTTTACTTTTTTTTTTTTTTTAATCTACCCTCTATCTTCAAATTACTTTTCTAGCCTGGACCGGACAGCAAATTTGTACTTCTACACTAACTCACTTTCAGTTGGCCACAGCAGAACTGTACATCTCGACTCTTTTTTTTACAGCTTTTCCATACTGAGGCCCACTTCCTGCCCAGTTGAGGAAAAAAATCTGGCCTGAAGATGAAATGACTGCTTAACATTACACTAAAACATCTGGTACCATTTTATGCACAGACCCATGTCTGAGAGCAGGCGATTCTAGCGGTCTCTCCAGCGGCACAGCGCATACCCAAACCTCCCCAGGGTGACATCATCCCATATATGGACTCTCCAGCCCAGCCCTCCCCCTTTTCCTGGTCCTAAATTCATTGCCAGTTCCCCAGTCTGCAGCAAATGTGCCACGTCAAGACTGGAAATCACAGCCCTTGAGTGTGTCTCAGTCAGTGCAGCAGAATTCAGGGGGGAAAGCCGAATGCAACCCCTGGTGCAGGAAGGGAGGCTTTTCCCAAAGACCAGGAGAGGATTTTAAGTACATAGATGGAAGCTTCTGGAGATCCTGCTCCGTCGCCCCAGTGTTCAGACTACCTGTTCAGGACAATGCCGTTGTACAGTAGTCTGCACATTGGTTAGACTGGGCAAGGGAGAGCAACGCCATGGACGGCTGGGGACAAACGTGGCTGTTTCCAAGGAGAAGACTTTTGTTTGCTTTTTCAAATCTCATACCCAATGTTTTTCTTCACAGGTTTTGCACACTAGGGACCCAGAAGCCCTCGGAGACACTGCTGAGAAAGGACTACTCGAAATAAGACCTGTGGGTAAGGCCTTCTTGACTGCTCACCTGGTCTGTGCCCAGGAGAGCTGAGGTGGGGAGCCAATGATTTGCGTTCACATGCGAGAGAAACAGAGGGATATGTGTGATGGAGAGCTATGGTTTACTTCTGAAAGAGTAACAATATGTGGTATAGAGCGATTTACTGTATGTTATTTGATTTCTGAAGATTTATAAGTCAAGTATTTTCTTAAGTGTAAAGTTTTTCCCACTTCCAAATGAAACATGAGAACACTCCAAGCACTTAAGAGTAATTTAATGAGGCTAGTTTTTAATTGTTGAAATTAATAATCCAAGGACATAAAAACTTACTTAAGAGCTGTAGTAGAACTTTTAACACCCTGGGATTGAATCCATTTTGCTTCAAAGTAAAGAATATTTGCTATTTTTAAAATGCTATCCGAATAGTGTTTTGAAAATTTACGTACATAATATAAATACCAGGAATAGTAGTATCTAACAATAAAAGAGGCTGCCAAGTTTTTGCCCACCAGACAATGCAGATGGGACTGACCCAGAAAAGAGCGCCAACCCAGAACTTAGTGAGTCAGCAGCTGATTAAGTCGGAGAATAGAAGAAACCTCTGTCTTCAGATATCCCAATATATATCTCTGTGTTACAGTTTTTTTTTTTTTAAAAAATCCAAAAATGGTTGATAATTGCTGGTCAGCTGAGACCTCATGTCTATATTTTACAATGCTTCTATTTCTCCGAGCATTTAAAATGATAAGGTACTTTGTCTAGAAACCCACTGATAAAAAAGGAATTTGTAAACGAAGGCAAAGTTTTCTTTGGTCAGTTTCCAGCTGTCCTGGAGGTGAAGGGGGGTGGGGGGGAAGGTGGGAGGGAGGAAAACCCTCAAGCTGAATGAAATCCCAATAGAGAGAATAATAGAGAAAGTCTGGGTTGCAATATGATCCATGCTGAACTTTAAAGGTGGGCCTCTTAAAGAAAGTTCTGGAAAAATGTTACTGCCTCACCCCTAATTCCCTCAACCTCCATTTATATCTACCCCCAAACTATTCTATATAATGAAAACATCTGTTCTATAGTTTTTATGAAAAAAATGTGATCTCTTTTGTCTTCCTTTAAATTCTTTAAAATTACAGTGGTTCCTGAACAAATCCTTTTCTAAATTGTACATTTTGCAACAATTCAAAAATTGTCACAAGTTCTCTTTTGCAAAACATTTTATTACAAAAAGTACCCCAGGTTATCTTTTGTGAAAACAATTTACTTTTTAAATCACCCTTTTGATTATCCCCAAACTGGTATAAAGAACATATTAAGTTATCTCTTCTATCCATAGTTTTTAGTTAAAATATAAAAAGCAAGGGTAAATTTAGTTATTTTCTCCACTTAGATGATATAATAAAGCCATCCTTTGTTTTTTCTATTGTGACTTGGAGGCTTGCATATTAAGTATTTTTAATAGAACAAGAGATATTTAAAACCTATATAGTTCCTTTTACACAAGGAAACTGAAAAAAAAAACTATTAGGTAATTACGGAAGCTTACTCTCAAGAAATATATTTTTACTAATTGACGCACTTAACTAAAGAAGAAAAAGAGCTATAAGGGACTTTGGCAATGTTTAAGTTTTTCTGAAATTTTTTTTAACTCTGTATAAATGACAGAATTTCACAACTTGCTTTCATTTCATGTATATTTAATTTAAATGTCTTTCTTCACATTTAATGGTCTTTTTGACTCTAAGAAACTAAACGCCACTGCTCGCCCACCAATTTTCTCCCTCAGAATGACTTTTAGTCTGGAGATAGAGGGGACCCGATGGTGTCCTTGGCATAAGTACAGGAATAGGAACCTTAAGAATTAATTTGTAGAGGGGTAGCCGAGGAGTGCATGCAAGTGCTCGGTGGAGTCCCGACAACCCATTTTTGATGCAAGCTTTTAACAAATGAAAAGGAATCGTACTTATTTTTAAATTGCATGAGCTAAATTAAGCATCAAAAGTAAAAGCTCACTTTATAAACCCTTGCTGACTGAAGGCAGGATAGGATGATTGTTTATACGCTGGTACACACGCCAGCATGTATACACACATATCGTAAAATAACCTTATCTCTTTCCAGGGCAATTAGAGCAATGTTTAACTTTATTTTGATATTACTTTATAAGGAGATATACAAATATTTTAGAGGTCATGGGATCTATTCCAGAGGAAACTAACCAACAGTGACATCTTCAACTAAACCTACCGCTGCACATGATGGTAAGTATTAAAATTAAACATTCTGCATTGTCAGAAAGAGAAAAATGTTTGCGGAGTCTGTCCAAACTGCATTTCATAGAAGCTTTTAGTTATTTTTCGTTTTAGTGAGTAGATGACTGGTAAGTTAGGCTAGGTACTGGGTTAAAAGGAAAACTTTTTTCTGGCATCCAAGAAAAGGAAATTTAGGGCCTTAGCTTTAACACCATCAATTCTTAATTGGAAGAGGATCAATATAAAACAGTTTTCAAACCTCACTCCCTTTTTTAAGCCACGGATCTCAAAATCAAAGAAAGTTTATTTACAATGAGACAAAATTTCAAACTGATCACTTTCTTACAATTAGTCAATAGGTTAACGTCCTTCCTGCTTCGCATTTCTGTCTTTCAGCCCAGATAATGGTGTTTATGTTTTTAAAAGACCAAAATATACTGTCTACCCCCACCTCTCGCCTTACAGACCACCCAAGTTTTTCATGCCATGGGAAAATGGTTAGGCATAAAACTTCTAATGAAAGAATTTCCCCCCCCCTTTTTTTTTTAAGGAAATAAAAGGAAAATACAACTTGATAATGTGAAAAAGTTCACTCATCCACCAGCGTCCATCCTTGCTAAAGAGAAGCCAAAGCTTTCAATTACTCTACAAGAGATCTGCTCTTTAAAAACAACCCATTTTCCTCTTTTCTAAGGAGAATATCCCACCCATCACAATAATGTCCAAATAATAACTAAGCGACCTTCATTCAGAAATCCCAGCTTAAAATAACTAGAAGGTCAGGCTCTCACCTGAAAGGAGACAGGAAATTGTCTTTAGTGAAGACAGAAACTTTCTTACTTGGTTTCTTTTATCTTTTCACCTTAGTGTGCTGCAAACTATGTAAATAGAAATATTTACCCAGGTTTTGAAAGTCTATTAAAAGCTTTATCAGTTTTAATAAATAGAGATAATGAAGTAAATTAAGGAAAATAATTAAATCTTCATTTTGAATTTCCTGACCTATCGTGACAGCCAGTTTCCTGAAGTTGCTTTGGCTTAATTTTGCTCTAAAGGATTTAGAAGATAATTCTTTCATTACATTTTTTTCCTTAAGATAATAAATAAAAGACAAAGGAAAATAAGGTGTAATAACCATATTAAAAATTACATGGTATGATAATAATGTAAATAGCTCTTTTATATTTTAGCTAGTATTTTAAGTGGTAATGAATGGATACTCATTGGGAATATCCATTCATTGGGAGATGGAAAAAAAGTCTTAAATGTATTTTTCAGCCTTCTGTCTTTTTAACAAGATTAAGGGCAGGTTCAACATAACTATGAAGTATGCATATGCCACATACTTACTATAATTGTAGTTTAAAAGCTATTAGAAACATAAATTTTCCAAAAGTCTTATGAATAGAGTAGTCATTTTTCAGCAAGATTTTTTTCCCCCTGAAAAAAAAGTTATGGTTTTTCAGGCTCAAATATTTTTCGATTATCTTGGTTTAGTAAAACTGTTTCGTATTAAAATATAACAGATAAACTCACAAATATTTCTTTCTATTTTTTCAGGTTGCATGCATCATTCCTTTAATTGAGCAGAGTTAACTGGATCAAATTATTTATGGGAGAGAGAGGGAAAGCTATACAGAATTACAGTAATTTTTAATTTCCACCAATATATTCTTTGTAAGTGAATCACTCTAAATATTTTCTGTTACACTGAATGCAGCAACAATAACAAAATAGTTTCATAAGGTATTTGTTTTTGCATACTCTGACCTTGTGATTATCTAATAGCAGCCAAGTTTACTGACATTTTTGATTCTGTCAGAAAAAAAGAAAGTTCTCTACTCAGAATGTTGACCAGAAACAGAATCAGACATTTATTTTCTTGAAATCAAATAAATAAATGGAAAATTGCTCTTATCACCTCTTTGTTAAAACTGTACCATATCTAATCAATGCATAAAAGTTCAGATGTGTAGAAAACTATAATTTTTTCAGTCTCTAAAAATATTTTCCTCTCCATAAAGTTTCTATTTGCTATTTTCTCAGAATTTTATAATTAAAGGGAAATAACAAACTAGGTGTTTTCTTTAAAACTCTTTGGAAAAAGTCCCAAACTACACACTCCTTGGACAATAAGATTTCGTTTTGTTTTTGAAGAAATCCCACTTACTGGAATTCTATCTAAATATTTTGTTTTTTAAAGGGCAGGGGGATTTATTAAATACCTCTATGGATGTGAATGATCATTTATATTAAAATAGCCAGTAGGATTATCCTTGAGCCACCAGAATTACATTTTCTACCTGTGTATTTAACACCATTAACTCTTTCTTGTATAAATTATAAGAAAATTTTCTACGGGGTCTGGTTTTACTTTTTGGATATGAAATAAAGTTTTCTTTCCTACATTTAAGGTCCTATTCTGTAACTGTACTGTACCACCAATGTCCAAAACACATTCTGAGCATCACTGTGGGTAACGACTTTTTAGTTTATACCCTTCTGGTTCATGGCCCGGCGCTGTAGTTAATTAAGAGGAGGAACACGTAAGCTCACAACCGTTTCTTATTTGGTTTTCACATCCATACTTAAAACCTTTGCCTTAAAAAGACTATGAGAAATTTAAATAAGTTCCCCTCTGCTTTATGAAGTATTGGCAAGAAATGCATCCCCTTGTCAAATCCCACTATCAAAGCATCGGATACCAAAGTTGGCTGGTTGAATTGCCAAATAGATTAGGCTTGTTAATTATTTTGAAAATGGCTGCCGTTTCCATGTAAATGACAAGTTTCTTTTTCATGGGCAAGGCTATGGTACTTATCGACTACAAGAAACATGTATAAACATAGTCTTTATCTTTAACTTCAGTATGAAAATATGCAGAGTTTTTGTGAAGAGGAAAAACATCTGGCTCAATGACTCTGAACTCTGACTGCATGTGGGCCAGTAATAATAATAATACGAATTGGATTTAAGAATAAACCTTGTGTTTAATCTTTTTGTTTTGTTTGTTTTGTTTTGTTTTTTCCTTGAAATTTCAGTGTGAGTGTTCTGTTACGTCCATTATCCATGTTAGCATGTCTGGAACAAATGTAAAAGTGTACTTTCTGAATAAAGTCAAAAGTCTCACTTGTTTTAGTTCCATAATGTTTTAATGTTTAATTCTATTGTGTGTTTTTCTCCCTTCCCCCGCCCACCCTCCAAAATCACCAAATCTGGAAAACAGACTGGTTGTGTCTGCCCATGAGCAAAGGAGACCCGAAGGAACCAAGGGCCTGGCTGGACGGTGTTGTCACGTGACTGCCTGTCTACACTTGCTGTGCAGAACATCCGCTCACCTGTACAGCAGGCACAGACAGGCAGTCACATGACAACCCAGCCTGAGGGACAACCAGCCACTGAAAGAGAGCAGCCCTCACACCATAGCATCTACACCAAGAGCTACGACCAAAATGAGGGGCGCGGGGGCCTGGGGGCCGCATCTGTTGGTTTAATACTTAATTCGTATGTATGATTTTATTATATTATATTTTGATTCGAATACTGAAACCCACCGAAAAGTAAAGTGAGTGGTGCCGATGAAATACAATAAAACCCATTTCTGAAAATGTTCCTGTGCTTTCTATAGTTCTCTTTTCCTAATTGTTGTCAGTAAATTCCTACCCGTGACATTTATTGTACACAGCTTTGCAGCACCCCATAATCAATATGACAAAACAATATAACTTCTGTCGGATGCTTGGCAGAGAATAAGTGATTCTAATAATTCTACTACAAAAACTAAGTTTAGTTTTCTATGTCATGATTTTTTTAAGAGAGAGAGGGAGAAAAGAAAACAAGGGAAGAGATAATGTTCTCTCAAGGGGATCATGTATTTTGAGTTAATAAACTCTACCAGTTTGGGTCTAGGCAAAACATAGTGAAAAGAGTATTTTGAACATAATGTTCATATGTATTAGAACAGTTGCCTCTCCTCTGCTGATATACAGAAAATTGAAATAGAAGCTCGGATATTCCCAAGTGTCATGATACACAAAGATTTATTACTTTGTCATTGTTTAATTAAGGAGGAGATTACACTACAGTTCTGAAGGTGGAGTTTCCAGGCCAACGCATTCACTTGGAAAACATGCTCCCATTCACTGTAAACTTCGATACTCCTGAGATGTTCAGGCAATTTGATTATTTTCAAAAAGAGCAAGGAAAGGGATCAATGGTAATGCAATGTATATTTTACCATATCTCTTGAGGAAATGTCAAAACTTCAGTTTATACACTGTGAACTGGGGTGCAATGATCAGGGCTGGCTTGTGTATATGAATGTCTCAAACACTGATGGGTAAAAAAGGTGGGAGACAGATAAAATTAGAAAATTGTCAACTTTGACTTGGTTCACTAAAATGTTTTAACGTCAGTCTTTAAAATTAATTTCATTTTCCTGAGATTGTGATTGAACCTTCAAAAATGTAGCACAAGACTACATAAAATTTTCTGGTTTCTTCAAAACTTAATTAAATATTTCAAATATATAGTTTGGACTAAAAAAAAACTATTTTTATTCAGATATTTCATTTTTAAAATGAAAGATTTAGTCTTAAGGCTAAAAATCCCACAAGGTTAAATAGCACAGGATTTTGTGCTATTCTACTAGACCTGACACTATAGTTTCTTTAAAAAAAGAAAAAAAGTGATTGGGCAAAACCACAAAGTAAAAATATAATTAAGGCTAAATTCTTGCATTTAACAATCTGGCCTTAGGAAATATGTCCTCTGCAAAAATATACTTCTGCAAAACACATTGAGCAATGAAGGTTTTCACCTTAAATGAAAGTCCCATGACTAGCAAATAAAGTACTAAACAATAGTTCAGAAAACATAAAATATAAACAGGAAGATGATATAAAAATGTCTCACAAAATATTTACATATAACCACCCAATTTTAAATGTTTTATATAACCCGCAGCAAATGCCAACAGGAGTCCACATCTGGATCACTCTACTGGACCCTGCAAGGCAGTCCCAGGACAGTGCTTGAGACCTCTCCGAATGACACAATAGCAGGTCAGAACATAAAGAAGACTATTCTATTCCAGCAAACTCTAAAGGGAAAGCTAGGAGGCCAGCACAGTCATCCTTAAGTGAGCCACTCCAGGATAACATTTCAAATAATACTCCCGTAAAATTTGAAGTTAACATTTTGGTTTTACATTTTTTCACTTAGCTCTCAAAAAATGCCTGAAAGAATATTATATATATATTTAAATTCATTAAATGAAGCACATTTAAAAATTTTACTCTTCTGGTAAATAATATTATTTTTCCAGAATAAATTTTGAGTGGGACAAAAAATACATTTAGAGGAGTGGGTTTGGGCCTATTGAGTATTTTTCATAAATTTGAAATAGTATTTGCCATTATAGGTTGTTGTATATATTTGTCAAAGTTATAAATCTTTGGATAACACCACAATGTGGAAATGTTTGTATGAAATAATCCTACATTAAAAAGCATAACATAAGATATCTTATATATGTGAAAAAACACAACTACAATCATGAAGAATTTTAAGTAACATAAATGTTTTAAAGTTCAATATTTATTGGGACCTCTTTGGCAAAAAAAATATCTAAGTTTTGGCTGACTAAAACAACTCCACAAGGAGTGTAAATAGTGTTCACAGGGTCAATCCTAAACTCCTCGTCACAGGGAACGTGGGGACCTAGCAGGAAACAGGCAGACTCCTGAAAGTATAAGTGAAACTGGAAAGAGCTGAAGATTTCTAGGACTTCTTGGTCTCACAGTTTGGGCCATTCAGGGAGATAGCTGCCATTTTGTTTTCTATTACCTAAGTTACATTTGTCTTCTGTTACAGCCACATAATAAAAACAATACTAAGTAAATATCCCTATAAGGGGATTATATAATCTCCTTATCAAGCTATCCAAATACTTCAACCCACAAAAATGAGGCCTGTAATTTTTTAAGAGTCCAAAGAATGTCCTTCTTTCAATGCGGATTTTGGATTTTCTTCAATATTATAAGGTTAGTACATTTTCACTGGGAGCATTTCTGTTAAATTATGCTTGTTTCCTATGAGTATTCCATAATGATTTTGATCTTCATATTGGATGATATAAATAGAATAAATATTGGCTGTATGCTACCATTGTACATAAACTAGCAATTCCCTTCAGAGATTTTAACTATCATTCACACATTTCTCATTGATATTAAGAAAAATAAGGCTTTTTTCTCCCTTTATCAGAATATCCTATCTTCTAAAATTCATATTTTATACATATTTTAAATAAAAGCCATCCTTTTCTTCCAGATCTGATTTAAAGTATTAATATAAAACTATATAAGCCCCAAGTCCTTCTTGAAATGATAGTTTCTATTTTAAGTCTACACCTGGCCCTTTTCTAAATCCTAAGATTTGTACAAAATATATTTACAGTGTGTTAAAATAACATTGGGAAATTTATTTTCTGCTTAAATGATCTTCAGTGCAGAAAGCTATAGAGTCAGGGGAGAGAAAAAAACATTAACCTTCAATGATGAAAATTAAGAAAATTTTAAGACAATCTACCTTAAATTGTAAGTTTACCCTGTAATGAAATAATTTGGTTTAGGTACCTGATGTAACAGGACATCACGAATTACTCGGTTGCATTTATGTATTTATTTGCTCAATCATATCTTCACTCAACCAATATTTACTGTCACCTGCCAGTGCCATGTTCACTGGTGGTAGAGCAATGAATAAGTCAATGGCTCCTGGTCTCAAGAAGCTTACAATTTAGCAGGAACACTCAACCAATACATATCACGTGTGATGAGTTGTCAGTTTTCACCACCTGAAATAATCTCTTAAATCCATCCACTTCTATCTAGTTCCATCAACCAACCCAACCAGCCCAAGCTATTATTATCTCTTACATAGCCCATAGCCATACCTCCCTAACAACTCCCCCCCTCAGTTCTGTGCTCCTTCAATCCATTCTTTACAAGGCAAGCAAAAGGATCTGTAAAAAATTCAGACCTTATTATGTGAGTTTCCAGCTTAAAAACTTCCAAGGCTTAAGGTCAAAATCCTTAATCTTTATAGACTTTTTCCCTCTCTTTTTTCTCTTTGGCCTTAATTCAGTTTCTTCAATTCATCAGGCTCAATCTTAGCCTCAAGACATTAACACAAACCTCTGACCACCCAATTCAATGTCTCCCCCCCGCCATGCTGTGATCCCCACCCCAGATGCTCTTTAAGTCAAATACATCACTGGATTTATTTTCTTCATAGCTTGTAATCTGTATCTGATAGGTTTTCCGGCTTGTTTGTATGTTTTCTTTATTGGTAAATATCCTTCAGGAGGGCAGGTACCATGAATTCCTTGGTAACCGTTTTATCCTTAGTGACTAGGATAGTGTGTACTACATAACAGGTGTTCAGAAAATATTTGTTGGGAAACGTTCAGGCAGTTAAGAGCACAGCACCAACACTGAGCAGCTGGCTAAATTATTCTCTGAGTCTCAGTCTTCATCTCTAAAATGGGAAATGTAAATAAAATACTTAGTTCAGTGCCTGGGAAACTATAAATACTCAATAAATGTTAACTTTTAGGATGATAATGATCATCATCAAGATTATCGTTCAGATAGAAAGCTGGCCTTCATGACTTTAAGCAGGTAGAATGACTAGTGGAATACTATTTACAACCACAATTACTGTCAAACTAGGGAGCATCTTGCTAACCGGAAGTCCTTTTGGTTTGGTTTAGCATTTTGACTAGTCCGAATATGCAAAACTGAGGCTGGACCAAAGGCTGGACTAGATGCTGAGAAGAGCTGAATGGATGTATACAACAGAGTGAGAAGCACCTTGAGTTTGGGGCAATCCAGATTAACAGCATTGAGAGAAGAAATAGGAGGGGAAAGAGAAAGAGAGGAGCTGAGGTACTGTCCTTGGGCTGGGCCAGCACAAGGCTAGAGCAGCACTGCCATACCCAACCAAGTGGGGTGTCCTCTGGATAAAACAACTGTGCAGAGGGGTATGTAATATTCTAATTGAGGTTGTTTGAATTGCTGTAGTGCTTGCCCAAATCCTTAGTAAAGTACCAAAAATATCCTTATGTTATTATTTTGATAGAAATCAAAGGATCTATAAGATCAACCATCCCAAATACAAGGGAATATATGTGGACACACAAGCCTGCATGTCCAAACTCTGTCCTCACCCGCATAAGCAGATCCTCCTTGACTTGGTACACACACTGGCAGAATGCCCTGGGAAGAATGAAACTAGGAAAAGGCCTATCAAACCCCTAGAAAAGATCTCAGGGCCACTTGTATAGGGAATTTCCTAGTCTGGGGTACTAGAGCATGATGTAGAAGGTCAGCCACGTTTGGGCAAATCCCTTTGGTGGTTAGTTATAAACTGTTTAACCCTGCAAGAAGACAGTTTATTTCTTTTTGTGTTACAGAAAGCCCCAGTCTTAAAGTAATGTTGGAGAATAACATACAGTCAGGTAAATAGTTTAATTATGTCTACTATAACCACATTGTATTATAAAGACTCTTTGAAGATGACATGTAGAAAAAAACATGGTCTGGGAC